ACACACACACACACACACACATTCACACACACACACACACACACACACACACACACACAGGCGGGGGGAGAGAGATATGACAAAAGGGAGAATATGTTTTGATTAATGAATTGGGTCAATTGGGATATACTCTATATCATGGGTGTCAAATTCGATTGCATCACATGATGTCATGTGACATATTGTGACATTTTTTGCCTTTGCGGAGCCAGGGCAGGTGTGGCCTGCATGTGATAATGGTTGAATAGACAACTACCTAAACATGATAGGTAATAGGACCTTATTGGTCTAGATTTTCTTCTCAATAGAAAGAATATCCTAACTTGGTTTTCCCTCCCCCCCCTTTTCCTTTCCTTTTTTTTTCTTTCCATCCTCTCCCTTTCCCATTGTTGTCTGTGTAATAAAAAATAAAAATAATTTTTTTTTTAAAAAAAGAAAGAATATCCTAACTTGGTACTATTTCTTAAAGAAGTCCCAAATATTTTCAGGTAACAGCATCTCATCTTCTTCAGAATTACCACTCTTACTCTGGAGAAGTAAATGGAAATATTCCATGTTTCCTTGTCATGGAAACATTCAATACTGACTCAGTAAGGCGAGGGTCTATAGGCATGTTGTTATTATACTGGTAGATTTTGGAATTGAAAATAATTATGTATGTGGCTGCTAAGATGTTCCTGGCCTAAACATTGGAGTTTTAAAGCAAAGAGAAAACGTAATTATTCATCAGATGGGAGCTGTAACTTTATGTGAGAACTGCAATTGTTTGAAATAACAGATATGGACTCTACTCAGGGAGATAATGTATTTGTTTGTTTGTTAGAATTATTTCCATAATGCTATATTCCAAAATGGTGGTTTCGGGTAGTGTTAAATATCATAAAGTCATTAAAACTCAATTAAAATATCCAATTAACAGCATCACCACTCAGCATCCAATCTCAATCATCTATAAATACTGTAAAGTGAGACTTGAATATTTCTTAATTACATTTTGTGTATTTTACAAAATGCTGCCTAGAATGCAGTTTAAATTCCTACTATGAATTATTACTAGCAATACCTTTTGCATTATGAATGTTTTAATAAACTATTTTCAGCATTATAAAGTATAATATATTTACTTAATGACTTGGAACAATGTCTCAAACTAAATCATCTGATAGGTAGCATAGTGCTGATTATCATATAGTGACAAAAGGAGTGGGGACACTTAGATATATTTGTAGCAAGTTCCCCTCTCTCACTGAAATCCCTAAAGTGAGGCAAACTCCCCAAACAGTCCAGTGTGGAAGACTATGGAATTTTGGTGGCTAGAGAAAAGATGGAAAATAAAAAATATGGTAATAGTGGAATGCAGTACCTTGGAAACGAATATTACTGCCTAGAACACTAAACTGGAACACTCCTGGTACCATGTATATATGTTAGTGGTTCTGTAGTCTTCTCTTTGTGTTTGCTTCCAGTTAGAACTGCTTAGCGGAATAATTATAGTGAATATATGCTCTTTCTAATTGAACCCAGACTGGTAAACAGCCAGTTAGGTAGTCATCCTAATGAGGAATAATAAACTCCAGGCAACCAGTTTTTGAAAGCTAGAGAACTCAAATGCAATCGGTTTTGATAACTATATGAAAAGGAGTGGATTAGTACAGCTTGCTCTTGTTAAATATTGTGAAACTAACTCGGTCTTCTCAGTCATCAGATGATAAATACAAATGGCATTATGAATGAAGAGGAAAAATAAATATCTTATTTGTGTGCTCTGTTCTAGATTTTACTTTTTATTGTTGGCAATGTCCATTATCTTGTCTGCCTCAGTGGTGCGTGTGAGAGATGGACTCCCTTTATCTGCTTCTACTGATTATGAGCAAAACACAGCTGTACAGGAATGCCGAAAGTACTTTAAAAGTCTTGCAAAGAGACTCACTGAGCTTCCAGACCGATGCACATTACAAGCAGGAAAGTATAACATAAAGTAAGTTTTCTCTGGCACATGTATTCTTTCTGCAACATTGCTCTTTATTGTTTCATATAACCTAGATACAGTAGTTGCTCTAATAACAGTAAAGAAGGGGTCTTTTTGATACAGTGATTTGTTACAGTGCTACAGTATTTAGAAATTACTTTCTTATTAAGCATTCCTCTTCAAATCTGCAAATCTATTATGCTTACCTGCAGAGGGCCTGCTCTTGAACTACTGCCAGAACAAGGAGCTAAACAGGCAGGGCAACCCTTTTGAGGGATGTTACTTATCACAGGTTGGATTGCCCTAATGATTTCCGTAGAATTATTTTAAGCAAGATTCTTCTGGGTCCATCTCCTTGTGTCTCAAATATTGAATCTTTGGACAATGCAAGACCTGGCATAAAAACTGCTTCATTGCATGCTAACCTAACTGCAATATTATCTATGACAGCATTTAGTTATACTGTGTAGACTCAGTTGTATCTTCTATATTATTTCAGAAAAATAACTCTCTTATGCATCTTAACCCTATATTTTTATTGTACCAATATTATACTTTGAAATGTTTATTTATAAAGAAAAAACAGAAATTTTATGAAGCTTTCCTTGTGTTCGTAAAATGCATTTTCTTTATTATTTAAGAATTAACTTGATGTTCCAGTCTCCCCATTTTTCTGTACTTATATTTTTGTAATTCTTTAAAGATGGAAGGGGCAGATAGTATATTTTTTATAAAATAAAGTATCCCCTAGATTAGATTTTATCAAGAAAATAAATGGGAAAATCTGTGTCATTCTGTGCAAAGGAATGTAAATTGCTCCAAAGATAAGAATATTTATTGCATCTATACCCTCTGCATTTGATTGATTCAATCTTAATATATAAATTTCCTGAGATACCTCTGATAAATTCTTGATGTTTAAGAAGTAAAATATTCCCCCCCCCCCCCGAAAAAAAAACCCAAGCCAATGTATCAGCATAATTATTTCAGCAATGTTGAATGTATGGCATATATACGAAATTGTCCTAGAATTGCTGTTTTAAATGCATAAGAAAATGATGGATTAATGGATTATTTTAATGGAATTCTTCATAAATGAAGAGCATAAGCATATGCTAAGATTTTAATTCAAAGTGCAATTTTACATTTTATAATAAGTTGACTTAATGTCTTTGCTGGATTCTTATGAAGAGGCATCCTTGCTAGAAAAATATTTCATTCTCTTGCTCAGTACGATAATTCTGTTTGCCTTTTTCATTCTGGAATGCAATAGATTTGTAGTTAGGAATAAATGATAAATAAAACATTTTGAAGACTGTAGCCTTTATTTATCCATTTCTCTCTTCCACTTTGAAGGAGAAAAAACTCATCAGTCTTCTCATATTGTTAAGTATATTTGTATATGAGAGAACAAGTGAGATACATATTATGCTACACTCATACTTATCCACCCCCACATCTGCCCTCTTTTAAAATAATATATTAAGTATTGATAGGTAATAGCAAAACATTAAATCCAAGTAAAACTTCATTGTTCTTTGAAAATAGAATTATAGTTAGAGGTGTAGAATATTATATTCCCCTTATAGAACTATGGAGCCATGCTGGGGAGAGTTCAGTGGCTTCTGGGGGTACATTCTCTGAATCAGAAATAGTCTGGATCCAAAACATGTCCAGCATAGTTTAAACTGCTTCTGGTTCAAAAGCTTTACCTCTGGGAATCACTCCCAAAACAGCATAATCCAAGAGGAGGTTCAGCAAGATCACATTCTGTTTCTGATTCAGTGAGTTTTGTATGCCCTAAATTTATTTTCTCATGAATAGTAATACTTTCATTAGACTCATCATTATTTCTCTTGTTGCAGTTATGTGTAAAGCCTACCCAAGGTAATCTGTGAATACATTATTTTAATTTTGAAATGTTAAAGACACATTTTTCCTCCCTCACCAAAATACAGCTTTATTAGTTCCCTGGGAGTGAGTTACATGATGCTCTGCACTGAAAATTACCCCAACGTCCTTGCCTTCTGCTTCCTGGATGAGCTTCAAAAGGAGTTCATTACCACATACAATATGATGAAGACAAATACAGCAGTCAGACCTTACTGTTTCATTGAATTTGGTAAGGGATTCATCACTTTCTTCAAAAACTGGCTTGATGTTGGGCTTCTATACGTGTGTAATATATTTAAAATGTAGTATTCTGCATTCTTTTTATTTATGACATAAAAGAACATGACTTGGCATTAAAATATACATTCAATCATTGTTTGATTCACAAACAATGCATAGTGATCTAAAAATCACTTCCAAATGCCTGACAACAATATTATTTCATAGGGATTTGGAGCAGCCCAATGGATCTGTTTTATTCAGGAATAATTCTCCTGCAGAGATGGATGAGATCTTCTACACTTATGAACAAAGAGGAAAAAAGTGCTTTAGAAGATCTAGGAGGTTTAGATTTTTGCTGCCTCTTGCAACTTACCCTGAATATGTGATGAATTGCATTACTAATACTTGGTGTACACTGACCTGTCAGTTTCATTAGAGGGTCACTTTCTGCCTAATTTTTAAATATTTTTTGTTAAATGTTTTCATAGACACATGTTCACGCTCTCTCTCTTTTGCACTCTGTCATCATCATCTGCTGCCTGGTTTTTTAAAAAAAATAACAATTTAAGACACCATTGTTGATTGAGTACATGGTTTTATAAATGTCATGCCTTGGTATGGGTTCTCAAGGCAATATTTATGGAAGTCTGTGATATTACCTTCAAAACAGAAAGCTTGTGAAATAGGTAAAAATTTGTGGGGGGGAGGAAAATTTTAATATATTTAGTGTGTAACGAAATAATATTGGAAATGCATTTAATTTCATTACTTGTGTTTGTTAATTTACAGACTATGATTTTATAGAAGCTTTGTAGTCCCAGAAATCCTATTAATGGGATCTACAATTTATATGGAATAACCCAAAAAGCAGCCCTACTTTAAAAAAAAACCTAAGCCCTAATCTAACAAAAGTAGAAAGCAAAGCCATCTTTTTTATTTTTCCAAGTTCCAAGGCTTAACTTTCATTCAATTTGTAATATCAGAAATATCATATTATAAGAGTATATACACCCTTGGAATCCAGAATAGTGCTTACTACTCAGAATTGAAGTCAACTTTAACATGGGCAAATGTCTGGAGTACTAGTACTTGTTCATATTACAAAGCCTTAAAATTGGCATAATTTATAAACAGTCCACAGTTTTCAGAAACCAGAGGAATGTACAGTAAGACATGGAATGACTATATTTCACACAGCTTGATATCTCTTATGACCCTGTGTTCTGCTTGTTTTATGACCATCTCACTTAATGCCTACTGTTTCTGTAAGGATGCAGTCAAATTTATTTATTTCTGTCATATCCTACAGTAATCTTCAGAGATTCCTGGTGGTTCCCAACATTAAAACAATATTAAAACCAAGGTAACAATATAGTAATAATGCATTGCTGTAATACAGATGGCATGAATTCCTCAGTCCCCAAATACTGTCTGGAAAAGCTCTGATTTTAATAGCTTCTGGAAGGCTATTAGAATGGGTGCTGATCTGAACACAGTGGGGAAGCTGTTTCCATAAAATAAAGACTGCAGGAGAAAAACATTGCCTCTGAGCCCTTCTTCATTAACCACCATTAATAGGAAGCAGTTAACATATTTTTGGAGGGAAGCGTACCAACTGCCCCCTCAAATCCTGTTGTGCTGCTTCATTCTGGCTGTGGATGTGTCCTCCTGGGGTGGATGAGCAAAGAACATATGGAATATGTGCCAAGGATATAATATCCCCAGCAGGTTTCCCCAAGGCCTAAAATTCATTCCAGTCACTAGCTAAAGAAGTAAAAATTATCAGAAGAAGAGGAACCCAAACCAAGAAAGACAAAGATCTCAGAAAGAAACTTAAGCAAAAGTTTCAAAGAGCTTTTAGAAAGATACAAGAAGAAATATTACAAGAACTTCTGTACAGACATTGACGGCAGACAGGAGTTCAAAAAGATCTCTGAACCCAGATTTCAACCTCCAATTTGCTTACCAAAAGATGCCAGTAGATAGATAATGCTATGCAGCTCCTGGGTAGTCTTCAAATGCTGGTCCATGAACAGTACATTGCAGTAATCTAGTCATCTGGGAATAAGTACTTGAACTACATTGCCAGTAATAGTGAAATAGTGCATTTCACCTCTCAACTTTATAATAATATCCTCATTTTAAAAACAAACATTGACAATAAAGGGTGCATAATTGAGAAAACTGCCTGGAGCTCAGAACAAATGCTTATTTTTCCTAAGAAAGTTTTCCAAATTACAAGAAAAACTAAATCAAATGTAATTAATTAATTATATTAGTTGCATTTCAGGCTTGCCAATGCATGCAACATTAGCTTATTCATAATTAAAATTGTAGCATTTAATCTTCTGGTGCTGCAAAATTAATTAGCCCATGATATACTAGGTAGAAAGCAGCAGCAACATTAAAATTTTCCATCATAAATGTAAGATTTTTAAATAATGAATTTAAATGTGGACATCCGAGATGTATGTTGTCCATAAATCTATGGGGTCCCCAGTGATGTTTTCATCAAAAATCTAAGGGGAGTTGCTTTAATTTTATACAGATAATTTTATTCAGAGGACCAAACAAAGATACAACAATCCACGATCTCTGTCTACAAGGATAAATCTTGCTGACATGCAAACAGAAATTAGATTGAGACCACCTTACCAGATTTCCTTGTCAGAACTTTGTTCAGCCAATGGATATCCATATGGATCTCTACAAGAAAAAGATACAAGAAAAATGTCTCCAGGTAAGATGATGGATTTAAGTTTACTTATTCAATTTTACTTATTTTGGGATAAAGGTAGAGATTGATCTGCTTGTTTACTGCATTCCTTTTGTAAATTTCATGGCCAACTGCAACATGAGGACTTTGGTAATGTTGGATTTTGAATGGCTTACTCAAGCTCAGATGGGGGGAAGGGACCCTGAGCTAGTTTATTAGTGCAGTGTGAAGAACTCTTTTTTCCTGTGGTGCCCCAATGAAAAGTTATTGTTCACAAGGATAGTTTCATCACATTGTGAATGATGTATGTGTGTGAGAGAGGGGGGGGATTAGGGACCTTGACCCAGAAAAAGATAAAAATGCTGTCTCCCAGGAAATCATAGATCTGATCAGACATTATTCTCCCTAAAATCAGAAGGTGAGATTGAATGATAATGAATACCTAATCCCTTGCTAATTGTTTCAATGACATCATAAAATTCTAGATTAAAAACAGTTAGAGAACTTGGTCAGTCTATAGTGGTCATCCATAAGAACTCAGTGTTGTAATGGATATTGAGAACTAATTTTAAAGCCTATTTCATTATGGTGGTTTTGACAAGTTTAGTTTAGATATATGTTTGAATGAATTGCTGTGTTTAAAACTACTCTTCTATCCCAGCAGCTTCTCCCCAATTACATATTGTCCACAATTTAGTTCTTGGCAAAGCAAAAAGGCTCTTGCCTTATAAAGTTTGGAAAGAGCACTGGTCAGACAGAAGCAATCCTCCTCTCTAGAGAAATTCCCTTTGTCATTTCTGAGCATTTTTTGACTTTATGAACTGCTTTGGAGAGCCTTTTCTGCTGCAGCTGTTCAATGCCCACAAGGTAGAATGGCACCCCTTTATCTATCAATGTTCCAGCTCATTAACTTCATTGTTGGCAACTTTACACTTCGCTGATTTAGACAGAATGATTTACATATGGTTCATTCACCTTATTGTCCCTCTCTCTATGTTGCCTAGACTACAGGGGTTTTTGCCCTGTGTCCTCCCCCCCCCTCAGTTTCTGTCACTTGTAGAATCTCATAATAACACTTGCACACACATTCAGTACGAATTGGCAGTTATTTGTGCATATACTTGGCATTTCGTGGAAGAGATGAATATCAGAAAGGTACTTACAGTCTATATCCTTTGCTCTTTATTTTTGCCTCTTTGTTGCCCTTGCGATCATGGAGAGAATGGCAAATTTGAAGCTCTTTTATATTCCAGGAAAATGAAAATGCCCACTAGAGTGTGGAGTCCTTGGGGCTTCTCTGAGCTTGGTGGTTGTCTTGCAGACATTTCATTACCAAAGTAAGTAACATCTTCAGTGGTTTTATTGCTGATGAAATGTCTGTAAGAAAACCACCAAGCTCAGAGACACCCAATACAAATATTCTCTTCTGTTGAAATATAAGAGTTTCAAAATTGTCGTACATCTTTTAGCTTTCCTCTGATTCATTTCACAATGTTCTGTTTAACAGAGGCCTAAAACCAAACCCATTTTGCAGAACCCCTTTAGGCTCAGCATGGCCTGCCCTTAGATAAGAGATCTAAGATAAGAGATACCCATATAGTTCACCAAGGGATAATTGACTATTTGAGGTGGGGAAAGGAAACGAGTCTGGAATATTTTTGGCAGCATTTGATATCTTATAATGAAAAATCTATGCATATGGAGTGTTTGTAATCTTCTGTAATGTCCTTCAGAAGGAACTCTCGCTGTTATCTCAATGCCTTCTGAATAAGTGTACTTAGCGGGGGCTTCGAATCACTCTTTGGGCCTGAAACACTTTAACAAAAAAAACAAAAAACTGAAATGTGAAAAAGTACAATTTAAAAAGCCTTTACTTATTGATTGGCTAATTGTTAGAGTAACTTTATGCCTGTGTTTTTATTTTGGAAGTTTAAGTCTTATGCTGCCTAATAGCTTAAGTACATTACTTTGATACAGGTAGTCTTTGACTTCATTTAGTGGCCATTTGAAGTTACAACGGCACTGAAAAATGTAACTTATGACCATTTTTCACATGACTTGTAGCATCTCCATGGTCATATCATCAAAATTGGAATGCATGCAATTGACATTTATCTATGACAGTGACCGTGACTCTAGTGACCTGGGGTCATATGATCACTTTTTGTGACCTTCTGACAAGCAAAGTCAATGGAAAAGCCAGATTCACTTAACAACCATAGTGATTCACTTAACTACTGTGGCAAGAAAATTCATTTAACAACTGTCTCATTTAGTAACAGAAATTGTGAGCTTGGTTGTGGTCATAAGTTGAGGACTACCTGTATGTTATTACATCTTGTAGAAATGGAAGTTTCTACTCAAGCAAAAAATATATATACATTTTTCTATTGGGGAGAGGCTGCATTTTAATCTGCATAATAATTCAGCAATTTCTAATGTGCATTTCCAAGTAAATATAAAAGTTGCAAATTGACCACTGATGCCCTCAGTTAAGCTGTGTTTCCTCATTTAAAGTATTTTGTCTAGAACAAGACTAAAACTGAAAAAAATAGCATTAGCGGGTTTTGCTCAAACATTAAAGAAAGCTTTAAAAATATTTATAGTGTTTTCTTCTCTCTGCTACCAGCCCCTCACCAACGATTGGAACCTGTGACGCTACCGGGAATTGTTTCCCTTCTTCTTAGCCTTTTATGTGCTGCTTTGAATTTAATTCGTGGTTTTCATGCTATAGAGAGTCTTCTACAGGTATCATTGTTACATTCATAACTTTGAAACAGGAAAAAATATTTTAAAGATTAAGAGGGTAACTTTATTTTTTTCAAACAATTTAGAAGTGTTTAGCAAAAGCAAATCACTCTGGAATAGTAATTGGATAAGAACTTTGTCTTTCCCTATCAGGCTGAGTTTGCATTCCTGAGCTGAAGTGTTTGCCATCTCACTTTCCTAGTTTCGTGAAAGAGCAAGGGGAAATTTTGATGCAGACATGTTACAGACATAATTCTCTTTTTCTTTTTCTCTCCCCCCCCCCTCCTTCCCTCCCTCCCTCTTCACCCAACTTTCTTAAAAGGAAATAGAGGCCATAGAAAAATCTGGAATTGACTATGTTAAATGTCTAAGAGCTGCATTCCTTGTTAAATTGTCAAGGGAATGGGAACCTGGGTTGCTTGTCTATGTCTCTCTCATAAAATTGGTTGACGCCGATATGCTTTAAGTTTTGTCCTAGTGCATGCTAATAATTGCTGCTGATAAAAAGGGAATTCAGGATGTATTAATGCAGACAGATGTGATGTTTCAGACAATTCCTTTTGAAGCGATAGAATCACTATATCCATGGTGAGAGGAGGGGCTAGATTGGGTTCAAAGACTTTTGCACTGAGAGAAACATCATATTTGCTCTCTCTCCCTCCTTTCTTTCTTTCTCCCTCTCTCTTTTCTCTCTCTCACTCTGTCTCTCCCTCTCAGAATGCAGGCATGCTACAAAAACTCCCTGTACTTTTGAAGATGAGAATGTATACATATTGTCCACTTACTAACAAAGGCATTACCTTGATTGCCTTAGTATTTCCTTCTCCTATTCTACCAGGCATATTAAAAAGTTAAAGAGTTTGATTTCAAAACTGTATTTATCAATTGAGTTAAATTTCTGCCTTTTCTATTATCATTACTGAACAGTACACGCTCTGGGCACCATTCCAGTCTTCCTCTGCGTTTTTCTCCCTCCCCTGTAACTTGTCCTGAAAACCTTCACATATTCCTCTTTTCTCTCTCTCGCCCTCTCATATGGAAGAGCTCCTTTTTCTGGGAAGTAGGCCAACTGTAAACAATTATATATAATCCATTTGTACTGTGTGGTCATATAAAAAACACATGGTGGGAAGGCAGGAATTTTGTTCTGGGTTAAACAGTCAAGTCCATTGCAAAACAAATGGAATTCGGATTTTCTGGGTCCAAAGTCCCTGCCCAGGATCTTTAGCTATTCCAATTGACAGAAAAGTGCTGTGTTATTCTTAGTTCTCTTGCCAAAATAATTGCATTTAATCTCTGGGTTCCATGGCTTTATATTTTATAATTTTACTTTGTGAGAGCATAGCACCATCTGCTGGCTATGTTCTATTTTACATGATTCTCATTGAACTAAACTGCTCTGGTTTAAGGCCAAACTAAATATTAAAACAGCAGATCAGCTTGTTTAAAGGCAATATGCAGATTAAACATCTGTAAACATCAGGCAAACTGCTAAATTTCCCATCTCAACCTGCTCAAAACCTTACATAATCTGTCATGGAAACTTTTACTTTTCTCTCAGGCTGTTGATGGAACAGTCTACAGGGCTTCAGGGAGAGTAGCCATGGATGGGAAGTCAATTGACCCTTCCCACCCAAATGCTTAATAGAGATCTGGCTGCTGCTAGAGAAGATTTATAAAGAAGGGGCTACCATATTTTATTTTGTCCCTTGGAAGTTCTTTTTATTGATCCCCCAGTAAATCCCAGGGAACAGTCAGTAAATAGAAAGAGAACACAGGTCACTCCTAGTTATTTGTCTAACCTGGTAATGTGATCAGCTCGGCAGATATCAGGGCCATTTTAATTTCAGTTTCTAATTATAAGGATCCTCATGTGTCTGTTAAAATGAAGATGGATTGCATCCAATTCATGCTCTGATTAGGGAAGGAAACTGCTGTTGTTGATTATGATGATGTGCAAGGATATTGATACAATTGACTATAGAAGACACTAAACTGCCAAACTTAATACAGGGAAAACTTCATTGAGTTCTGAAAAAGAGGTTCCAGAGTGCCAGTATTTAAGATAGTAGTCTGTCTTCTTTGCACCCTATAAACTATGTTGATTTGAGAATGCTTATTGTGCCCATTTTTTCAGAATGAAGAAGATGACTTCAGTTTTGTTATCGCCTTTTTTCTTGGCACAACAGCTTGTTTATATCAGGTATGTACTTAGGTATTTTTAGACGTTAATAGTTTTGTCAACTGGTCACAACCCAAAACAGGCTTTAAGTTATATGTATTCTAAGAACTCCACTGGATTTGGTCATTCTGCCCAGATGCCTGACTAATGAAAAATGAACCACATCGAATATATTCAAGGGGGCGGGGAGAGGGATATTGCAAAAGTTATTTTGGTGGGTTTGTACTATCACTGTAAAAATTTGTTGCTTTTATATGGTTAATTTAAATGATGCAAGGTGTGAGACATATAAAAGAGATATCTTCTTTATTTTCAGAACTCACCTTTTGTATTATGCATGATATTTGACAGAATTGCAATTCAAGAAATTACTTAAAACATTCCAGTCAGTATAAAACAATTTTTACCTAAACTCTCTAGTTGCCCAGAACATCCAGATTCTAATAATCAACCAAGAGCACTATTATCATCTCTATATGGCTTCGCCAGGCAGACTTGAGTGACAAATTTTAGTTTTCTGCTGTGAGAATGTCTGAAAAGTCTTCAAAGTCATAGGAAAGCAAACAGATCTTTTCTTTCCCAAAAGAATAACAGTAATATTGAAATGTTTTTTTTCCCCCTTTATGTTGAATAGAGGACTTTTCCCCTTCGATTTCTTTGTGCTACAGAATCGAGTAAAGTCCCACAAGCTATCGTTTAACTATGATCATTGTTTTTTCTTTGCAGTGCTATCTGTTTGCATATTGCACAAACTGGCGGAACATCAAATCTTTCCTAACGTTTGGCTTAATCTGCTTGTGTAATATGTACCTTTATGAATTGCGCAATCTCTGGCAGATCTTTTTTCATGTGACTGTGGGTGCTTTTTTAACGTTACAAATCCGGCTAAGGCAGCCACAAGGAAAAGCTCCTGATTATAATGTGTGACGGATGTCCTCTGATAGTTTCATGGCAAACTTCATCCGAACAGTATTCTTCTCAGGACTGAAAAGCTTTGCTGTATGAAAAGAAGTTCCACATACTCTGAGACTCTAATAAGTCAGCAGTGATTTAAAAAAAAAATGGTTCAGGAACTAATTGGGGTACAAATGCAATCCAATGCTGGATAATATACCCCAAGAATAAATGAGAATTTGGAGGGCAGCATGAAAAGCTCCATATTCAGAACTCTGACAACGACAAAAATCTGTATTGGACCTGCTCGGCATATTAAGTGATTTCTCCAGTCCCAGACCAGTTTTGCCTTTGTGAGGCAAGAGAAAAGGCTGAAATAAAGGGATGGTATTGCATATTAACAAACAGTTCGGTATGAATGAATTCCTAAATGCCAGATTATTGGATTGCACATAAATTTAATGGTGTGTGTCTGCATTTTCCTTAATTAAAACCTAACCCAGAAACCATCTGTTGCTGGGGATTAGTTCTTGAGCCCCAAAGGCCTGCCATCTAATGCTGAGTTAATTATGAACTGCATTAGTACTTCTTTTCCTTCTGCTTTCTTTCATGTACTTTGAGAGTTTGAAAATGATCTTATCTATCCCAATGCATCAATAATGTTGGTTCCTTATCTAAAGTTTGAAGATTTTTTTAAAAAAAATCTCTTTGTGATGATATAATGGGAGAGAGACATTTTCTCTGAATAATATAAAATCAGAAAAGAAATTAAACAGTTGACTAGATGGGATGTGGGTTAATTTTTATCCATTTCTCTATCTTATGAAAGTATTTGGAGCGGAAGAAACAGCTTTGGATCATTGCTATTTATTTATTTATTCATATTTTAACAGATTATAACACTGACAGAACTCTAGACAGTGCACATAATCCTTCCACCTTTCTCATGAATCGATGACTTGGTCTGAGAGAGCAAGTCTTGTCCAATGTCACCCAGACAGTTGCTGTGCCTGAAGATGGACTAACACCTGGTCTTCCGGCTAAATCACTGTGGCTGTCACTGCCAATGTATAAACTGCAAGGTGAACCACCTGTGCTAATTAACTTTTGCATGCCCTGCAGATAGGGTACAAATGTCATGGTAAGATGGTTATCCCCCCCCCCTCCCAAATTGCAGAGATTCAGTATCTGAATTAAGCTTGTTTAGGCAAAAAGTAAGGCTTGGCATTTAAAAATATGAGTGCTATGAGTTGAATTCCAGATAAAATTAAAGTTCACTGAAATCAATGTAGAGGACCTTTAAGTTCAATTGAGATATTATCTCTGACATGTGGGAATGCAAGAACTGTTCAGAATATTGTTGAATATTGTCCAGCAATTTCCTAGCCTCTGAATGGTACTAATTTCTTAGTTTCTCTGGGTGAATTTTGTTGCAGAATAGAGTAAGACAGAGGTTCTCAACCTGTGGTCCATGGACCACTGAACGGTCACGATGTCATCAGGGGACGGGGTCCACAAAGGATTGAAGAAATGTTACGATTTAAATCTTGAGTTAAGTCTTGGAGGTCTGTGGCCCCAAAAGATATTTAAAGGGGGTCCATGGTAAAGAAATCGTTGAGACCCACTGAAATAAAATTATTGTCGACATTGGAAGAGCTAGGCAAAATGTGGTTCCAGCAAAAACTATTATTAAACATTCCTCACTGTATTATTAAATTACAATTTCTTATGACATTTGATTTTAAGGAATAATTATATTGAAGCAGATGTGCTTAAAAGATAATTGGAAAACTTTCCAAGAAGATTGCAAAAGAGGTTGAATTGTTTTTGGAGTACCTAATCCCCACTAATAACCTATTTGTCTCTTAGCTTGAATTGCATGTCATCTGCAAGTAGTGATAATTGTAGACTGATTCAGTGGAGGAAAAAGTCTTTGCTTGGGCTCGCATAGTACATTAAGCCATGATTTGCTTAATCACAATTTGAACAAGCCATAATTGGCTCGCTTAATATAATACAAAGCCAAAAAATAAATCTTACTGTGGCTTGGGTTTCTACAAGCCCATCCTCTGTATTTTGCCCGCAATATATAGTAATTTTCAGTGTTTCATGTATTAAATTCTTTTTTACAGTGATGTGATTATGGTACTTTACAGGACTGCACTAAGCCAGCAATGAAAAGCCAGTGTTTTAATGCCTTAATTAAATTTATGCTGTGTATCCTGTAAGAGAGTAAGAAAGTGTAAAATAGCTTATGATAAATATTTCTTTGAGGACCAAATAATTACTGTGTGTGTTCCTGAAACTTTAAATTGCCTAATATGTAATACAGCTCAGGTTCGAATCCTAGTAAGGGTATGGCTAGCTGATGAGAGCTAAATAGCTTGAAATAGATCTATACTAGTCTCCCTTTATTTATTTATCAGCACAAATGCAACACATATGTATGTATGTATGTATGTATGTATGTATGTATGTGTGTGTGTGTGTGTGTGTGTGTGTGTTTGTATGTGTGTATATATACAACAAGACTAGCAGCATCGCTCCTATATTGATAATTTTCAATTTTTCCAGAAAGGATATATCACAGAAAATGTCTTCCGCTTTTTGTAATATCAATTTGCCTGCAGCTATTGTTACCAGTTGTAGATTTATTTACATAAATGCCAAAGAGTTATTTTCAGTTAAGGATTGGACAACTTTGATGAGTTTTAATTTCTAGTGCCTCCCCCGAGTATGAATGCCATGTACTTGTGGTCAAAGATGAATACCATTATATTCAACTATATACAGATATCTTTCCACAAAGCTTGGTAGATTTTTTGCTTGGATTTCAAAACTGTAGCTAGGAATGCTACTGCCATAAGTATGTTTACAAGTCAGACTCTTTATGCCTAAGACATCACTATAAACTATAGTTAAATGAATTGGCAGTATTATATAATCACGCAATATAATAACTAATATAGATAACTATCATTAAACCAATCAATTTCCAAATGTACTAAACTGTAGTCCAATTTAGTAAAAAAACATTTGTTCAGGTAACTTATCATCTGTTGCTGATGTTAAGCCTATAAAATACAGAAAGATTTAATCATGCTCTGTGATGGCAATACAACCAAATTCTGTGTTGTATATGCAGAATGTTGTATCTTTATAATGCCCAATTAGTGATCATTGGTCTTAGCAATTCAATTTTAGCTACCAGCTCACTAGTTCCAACCAGCAATTTTCGGGAAGTTTTGGAAACCAAGTTTATAACATTTCCTGTGAAACAGAATAGTTTACTGCTTGCACACAGACTTGATTTAAAAATATGAATCTAAGGCTAAGTTTATTCCCTCCATGCTGCTTAGAATGTTCTCAATATAAGCTATTTGGGTTTTTTGCTCTGTAGGTAAGAGCAGGAGAACAACTTAACAAGAAAAGATTTTCTCTGTTGGATTCCACATTCCTTTTAACACCATTCCACATGCCTATTTCTTCACATACATCTTGTTCTAGTCATTTATTATCCAGCCTTCAACATTCTGTTTGTGGAGAAGGTTGTGGAAAAGACAGCAGCTACATAGGATTTTGGAATAAATTGTTTATCTGGACCTGTTTCAGTTGGATTTCAGACCAGGGTACATTATCAAGACAATACTGGTCACACTTTTTGATTACCTTTAGCAGTTGATACGAGATGGAGGTTGTGCATTCATTCTTGTGCAACTTGTTCCTCTTGGGTTTGTAATAACATCAATCACAGTTTCCATCTGGATTGGTTATGGAAGATGGGAGTGGGAGAAACTATATTGTATCCTCAGCCTCCATTGATGGGGAGAGATTGTGGTCCTGGCCTCTCATTTTGGGATTCCTCCAGGCTCAACATTCCACCACCACCCACCTTCCTTTTTACATGAAACCACTAGGTAATGTCATTTGTCACTTCAGGATGCTGATGATACCCATTGCCCAGGTCACTTATGATTGAATCAGTGCAGCATGCCATACATGGGACTACCCTTGAAGATCATCTGGAAGCTACAATTGGTTCAAAATGCAGGACACAAACAGTAATGAGTAGCAGTAATTGCTGTTTGTCAGACTGCATTGGTTGCCAATCAACCTTTGGATGCAATTCAAGTTGCTGTCATCAAGCCCTTCACGACACAGGGCTTAGATACGTGAGGAACTGCCTGTCTCCAATTGTTTCTGCTTGTCTGGTACATTCAGACAGTGAAGATACTGCATGTGCTCCAGGTTCCTTCTACAGGTAGTTCTTGACTTAACAAACACAACAGACTCCAAATTTCTGTGGCTAAGGAAGATACTAAGTTTTGTTCCATTTTATGACCTTTCTTACCACAGTTAAATGAATCACTGCAATTAAGTGATTCTTAATGTTGGTTAATTGAATCTTGCTTGACATTGTGACACTGCAAAAGGTGATCACATGACCCTAGGACACTATAACTAGTATGAATACATGCCAGTTGCCTGGTTTTGATCATATGACTATGGGGATGCTGCAGTGGACATAAGGGTGAAAAACAGTTCTAAGTCACTTTTTTCAGTGCCATGATAACTTTGAAAGGTCACTAAATGACTGTAAGTCGAGGACTACCAGTGTTACTGTCATCTTAAGAGATTGAGGAAGTGTGTCTTCTTTGCTGTGGCCTACCCTTGGAACAGGATCTCCCCTCTCCGCAACAGATTTGGACAGCACCCTCTTAGGGGATGCAAAAGTCCTTAAGGCCTGGCCTCGGTCCCAGTCTTATGGTTCAGATATTTGTCAGACCCCATTTGTAATTCATTGTGTCGCACCCCACTCTCTTGCCAGACAAAAGCACACATCAGATAAATCTTGTGAAGGTTTAGGGAGGATCCCTTCTGGGTCTCTTTCTGCATACTGAGGACTCAATGTTGACTTGATTTGTCTCTTAGTTCCTTGTAAAAGAGAACTTCCCTCTTGCAATTCAACAGCAGATTTCACAAGAGTCAGCAAAGAACAGTCTTATACAGGTGGTCCTTGAACTTACCACAATTGGGATCAGAATTTCTAATGTTAAGCAAGGCAGCTGTTAAATACCTTAAATTATGCCCAACTTTATGATTATTATTATTTTGCCATCACTGACTGGGAAGGTTGCAAATGACAATCCCATGATTTCAGGGCGGTGCAACTATCATGAAATACATGATAGTTGCCAACCACTTGAATTCTAATCCTGTAACCATGGGGATGCTATGACAGTCATGAGTGTGAGAATGGGTTGTAAGTTACTTTTTCAGTGTTCTTTTAACTTTGGTCACTAAACGAATGGCTGCAAGTCAGGAATTACCTGTATGGAATTTGTTTATATGTATACTCAAATGAGTGTTTTTTTTATCTAGGGATGCCATTTAACACAAAGTGCACTACATTTATATACAGGGAGGGCTACTTATCTTGGCCTGTCCTTCCCATATAACCTCTTTTAAAAAAAACCTTTAAGTCCCTGTAAAGTTCAGTTTCATTGGGCTTCAGCTGACTCTTTCACTTCAAAATCTTGTCTCAGAGGTGAATAACCATTGCTTCCGTGTCCACCTGATGAGTATGGCCATGTTTTTGTTACAATTTTTGGCATGAATCTTCTGTCTAGACAATCTTCCTGCTCCAAAAGCATATTCGTGTAGCATGCAGTTTTGAAGTCATCATTCTAATTCAATATATCACCTTGAAAAAATATTTGGGAAGTCAACAAAATAAAGTCCGGTTGTCATTTTAATGTTCTGTGACAAACTTCTTAGTTTTTTATGAGCCAATAATGAAAAAAAACCCAGAAAAGACCGACAAGTGAAACAGTGTTTAATATAGTTGTTAAATTAAACAGATTGCAATTTCCATGGGAAATCCTAACTGTATTCATCTTGCAAGAGCCAGAATAAAGAGTGCATACCCCTTGAAATGATCATGACACAGTCAACAATCACAGTCAGAGATACAGGCGACTGAAAATTTCATTGACAACACAATTGCGCAAGGCGGTCTGCTCAAATGTTAATGCACACTTCAAAGCAGGAGGCCAACTTAAAAAATGATCCTATATTGTGCTATTAATTAAATTTTGGAAGTGGTAAATGATGCCAGAAAGAAAGGGTGGAAGATAATGAACAAGCTGCAGTACCATGTAAATAAAGACCTTTGGAAATCAGATTTTGTTTAAAGGTTAAAAAAACATAGTACAAGGACAAACTTGGCAGTTTTCTACAAACCGGGCTGTACCATGTACCAGGATGTGCCTTACTGGAAGGAAAACATATAACAGAAATCGGATACTACTAGGTTCTTGTTTAAAAGAGTTCCACATAATTATGTTAAGCAATTTAATAAATTTAAGAACATGGACAATATTTAATTTTCTGGTCAAAGATCAGAGCCCCCTATCTCATGTCATAGCCATTCAGCTTATTAATACTACTAAAAATCTATCTTAAAAAAGGGGGAGAAAAAAAATCTGTCAAAAAGCTATTAATCATTTTGGAGATACCCAGGCTCAATATAAATTCTTTCCCTACACTGAAATATAAAAATATATGCTTTCTACACTTTAATACTGTAATAAAATGTATGGGCATTGAAAATTCATGATGAACCCATTTATAAATGCGTATCAGTTGCTCCTTTTCTTTAAAATTGTTAGACCATCCCAGCATCCGCAGTCAAGTTTGTTTGGTTATAGGGGAAAAAACCCCAAACTTTCCCAAGCCTTTTTTAACTAAATGCCAAGTTCAGTGAATTGAAAGTAGAATTTAATTCCCCACCTCTTCATGACAGCAACATTTCTAGACAATATTCCACAGCAATTCGATACACATTAATTAAACAAACCATTAAATATTTTAATTGTTGCACTTTCAGTTCTTTGAATATTGGAAATTGTTTTTATCTCAATACCCTATATTTCAAAAGCTATTTCAAAATTGGGGATACACTTTATTTGGGCTAATTCTTTATTTTCTTTGATTATTATTTTTTAGCCTAAGGTTTCATAACCTTCATTTATTTTTTATTTGTTTTTATCCTGGAGCCACTTTTAAGCTTCTACTTGCTTCCTGCACTGTACAGAAATTAAAAACTGCCAAGTCTGCAACTCTGAAAAGAACAAAAAAAAACATCCACAATTTTATAGCTTATGTACACTTCCCAAGATGCTGTTATGTGCACAGCCACTAGTTTCAGTTCAATTTTGTGCGCACCCAGCAAGAGGCTTCCCCCCTGCCAGCTGAGTTAAGAGAGAACAGAGGAAAGATCTCTCACTGACCAGCTCTCTGGCAGACTGAAGGGTCCCAACCTGGACTCCTGTTTCCCCTCTTTTCCCAGGCAGATTATGATAGAGAAGGAAATGTATGTCAGATGCAATCAACTATGGTGCCTGTATGAATGGATCAAGATTGCTCCACCCAAAAGATAAAAGCAGCTGTACCAGATGTTCAGTGCTTGCTTAAGACTGCTGCATGTGAGTCTTCCCTCTTTCTACCTTTTCACATAGCGGTTATGTGTCCCGCATTACAGCAGATACACAAGCTGATCACTGTTGCACAATTGGGATGAAATTTTAATACATAAAATCTTCAAAATATAGAATTTTGGTATATTTGTTAGTGTCAGTGTCTCCCATATTACAAAATACAAAACCTCCCCAAATAATCCCATATCACATATCAGAGAAATCTCCCTGACCAACAGGAAGATTTAACAGCTAAGTCTTTCGCCTGTGAACCAAAATGCACCAATAGGAGTTAGAAGATCTTTTCATTTAATAAATACATATGAAAAATTCTTTTTTTCTCTCATTTTAAACAATTACTCTCCTTCCTTTAAACATACCTCTCTTGCTAAAATGAGGAAGCCTCACATTTGTGTAAGGGTAGGGATAGCAAGAGTACATAACAAGGCAACTTTTTCCATTTAAAAACATTACCGATGGCATAATAAAAAAGGCCCTTTGTAAAGAGTTACAGTGACAGCAACATCTTTAATTTTAAAAGCCCACTCAAACAGCTAATATAAGAACAGTGGCACATTCAAGGCGCTGACAGCACAGACCAGAAATAGTATGGGAGTGCACAGCCTTTCCAAAATAATGCTGTTCGTTTTAGTTTTCCTTTTGTTGCAAATGAATCATACTTTCCTTCCACCAAGTAAAAACATTGTATTACTTCAAATAAATACTTAAATAGTTTTAAGTCCTGCGTAGCAGCCACAAACGAAGATCTCAAATCCACCTCTTCATCTCCGCATTTCCACTAAGCATAAATCTTTGGTCAATTCACTTAACGTTCACCTTCGTAAAAAGGTCTGCAGCAGTGCTAGGTGACTTCTGAAGTGTGCGCTAGGCAGCCCAAGCTGTGTTTCTTTTTTTATTTCCTTCGCACACAATCCTACTAAAAAGGCATTGCATGAAATACTCAACCGTGCCTTGGGATTAGATTCACTGTGAAACAGTGACATTTTTTTCCAGTGTGCTATTGTGTTTGAATTAATGGAGTCATCCTTGCCCACTGTCGCTAACTTGCTGGTGGGCCTTCATTTAAGAAGTAGGTGGTCATTTCTCCTTTACCTTTGACTTTCACAACCCCTCGGCATTCTAGTTGATAGTTGTTGATGGTTAAAACCTGATACATGTCCGTAGTGACCTGCAAAGTATTTAAAAGAAAGAGAGAAAAATCAGCGTTCGCCGCCCCCCTCAAGCCCTCTCTTGTTTAAGTTAACAATGAAAGTGCATTTATGGAAGGCATATTAAAAATTTATCTGGGATTACTGGAGATAAAACTTTGCACTCCGATTGTGTCCACAGTACTGAGGCCTTTGCATTCACTGAAGCATCAGAAGAAACGGCGGAGTTTTAAACAAGGCATATAACTCTGCTGAAATCATGTTCTATTTCCATATGGAAGCAGAAGTTGAAGAACTGATGTTTGGCAAGTCTACTAGAGTCTATTACTCTCAAGAGGTCTTACTAAGCAAATGCCAAGCATAACCACTCAGCCTCTAAACACAGAGTGCTGGTTCTATTAAAAGAAGGGTACAAAGTACCGAGGGGAAAGACAATTGCATCAAATATATCTTCTCCTCTTTCATTATTACAAGTTATGTAAGTGCTGCTGCAAGTGGAGTTTGGAAAGGTAAGAAAAAGGTGTGAAGAAGTCTCACCTGAATCCTATCGGGGACTCCTGTACTGTCCATTCGACTAGCTACATTCACAGTGTTGCCCCAAATATCATACTGGGGCTTACGTGCACCTATGACCCCTGCTACTACTGGACCAATATTGAGCCCTAGAAACAAAGCAGTAAGGAATTAAGACTTTCAAAAATAAATTGATGGTTATTAATTTTCATCAGAAAATCACATGCAGAAACAACACAGTCACCAGATTCATCCCCACACCTGACTCATCCCTACTAAGTTTTGAAGAAATCACCTTTTAGCTTTTTATAAATAAAATAAGAAAGGAAGCAGTTTGCTGCACACCCTTCTTTCATTTGTTTATTTAGCTGTTAACTACTAGTGTAATTTAAATATTACACCAGTCATGTTTTTTTTAGATGGGTGGCAGTGGTGGGATTTGATTTTTTTTACTACCAGTTTGGTGGATGTGTCTTGGTGGGTGTGGCAGGGGAAAAATACTGTAAAAGCCCCATTTCCTCCCAATCAGCTGGGACTCAGGAAGCAGAGAATAGATGGGGACAGGGCCAGTCAGAGGTGGTATTTACCGGTTCTCCGAACGACTCAAAATTTTTGTTGCCGGTTCTCCAGAACTGGTCAGAACCTGCTGAATACCACCTCTGATGGGCGGCCATACAAATATAATAAATAAATTATTTATAGATTCACATTTTCCCACAAATATTTTTTAAGAAATATTTTAATGAAGATTCTTTTTTAAAAAAATGAACAAATACAAAAAAAGAGAAGGGAGACACAGAGAGCAGGGGAAAAGGGAGAGAGCAAAGAAATGATGCATCCTTTGTACAAGTTTGCAATTAAAAAATTATAAGCATTTGGAAACCAAAGTGACAATCTTCTCCCACTGACTTCAGTGGAAACATTAAGAATTTTCTTAAATCTTTTCTATCAAAAACAATCAGGATTGGATTCGATCACAACCCTATTAAGGTGTTTTGAAGCTACTGGATTTCATGTCAGAAGGAATACTGAATCTTTAGATTCCCGTCTTCCCTTTAGTCTTCCGCGGCTCCTACAAGTCACAGGATTCAAATGTAAAAAAGTATTTTGTAGAAATATCTGAACTGTACAGCCATTATATTTCTTGCCTCCAATATGTGCACCAATGAGAGAGAGAGCAAATGTCTGTTCTGGATATTACCAGTAAATTTCTCTCTCTGGTACATCAATGTGAAGGAAATAGTATCAAGGGAGAAATGGAAAAATGATGATGATGATGGTGAGATAGATCCCAGTTTTGCATTTTTGGTCCTAGTGAAATGCAGGCCTGATACTAGTGTGTATGCATGTGTGATATTCTGGAAGCTGAAAAGGTCACTGATTACTTGTGTGCTTCTTAGATATATTTTTGTATCCAGAATGATTTATGCTTGTAGCTGCCATACACCACAGGGCAGACATTTTGTGATGCAGAAGTGTGTGCTGATTTTCCCACTGTCAGTTGGACATGTTATATAATTTACAAAAGCCATAACAGGCACTGCCAACTGAGTACCAGTAAAAAGAAACAACATCCATGATAACTCACATTCAGTGGCGTCATGTAAAATATGGCATTTGCTTTTTTAACCACAGAGAATGGATTCACGGGGTGAACCTCTGGAGCCTAAAGTAAAACTGCAATATTTACCTATTTTCATCTGGAAATTGTTGAACGAATGCTCGTTGATGTATTTCATTTGATCCATTAACCTCATTGCAAAGTCTGCCAGGGCCTTGATATGCGTTTTGCCCACCTTGTCATACGTAGAATCATTAAGACCCGAAGCAGCCATATATGTGCTCCCTATTGTTTTGATCTTTTCCAGCTGTCGAAATTGGTCTTCACTTATTATCTACAAACCCAAGGAAGGAAAAGGATATATATGCAAATCAATCCATGCTCTGTAAGTGGTCTGGGCACAGCACTAGATGCACTACATGCATTAACCCGTGGTGTGAACAATCATGTCTGATTCATATACAAAAAGAAAATAGATGAGCTATTTGGATCCTGAGTACAGACATAGAGATTGAAGTCCTATATCAACTATTAACTTGAAAACAACTATGGTCGTACTTTGGATTATGAAGTCCTAAATATTCTAGCCGAGTACAATATAATTAATAGTATAGTATAGTATAGTATAGTATAGTATAGTATAGTATAGTATAGTATAGTATAGTATAGTATAGTATAGTATAGTATAGTA